CCACCCTTTCTGACTGGCCCAGCCTCAGCCAGCAGCACATCCGTCTTTGGAGCCACCAGGGACTGGCTCTGCCAGACATGGAGGAAACTTCCAGCAGTTTCTCATGGAAATCACCCCTGCAGCCATGCCCCTGCTATCAAAACCAGCAAACCTAATACTCCTCCAACAAAAAATTTCCTTGAAAATGTGTTTTAGTGTAAGACACCACCTCAGTCCAGGCATTTGTATAGATAGGGACATTACAAACAAAGAATTGCTCTAAGTGTTTATTCTAAACAGTCAGTATAGAAACAGTTTTATTTGCCCTATACTTTTAGATCATAACAATTATTCAGAATAGTTTTGAGATTCACATTCCAGCATGACAGTAATTTTTAAACAGATGTTTGACATTTCAATTGTAGTTATCAATTAACTACAAGAAACTATGACTTCCATGCATGAACTACCTAGGCTTTTCATTCATAACATTAGAGTCCTACAATAATCAACAATAATTAATTTTATACACATATTGCTCTATCTACAATAAAACTAAAGCCTACAATAGTAGCTCTATGAGTACAGTAAGTTTTGTTTAAAACAATGAGGAATTACTACTCCTTGATTTATATCTTACACCTGTGTAAAGGTTTCACACTTACAGTTAGCTCTACCAAAATGTTAAAATCAAGAGAAAAAGTTAGCTGAGGGCAAAAGTTATAGTGCCAAGAAAGCAAACTGATGTAAGAGCTGCACAGGAAACTGCTTCCACCACTCTCACTTTTCCACACTGAAATTTAGATGAGAAGGATAGCCAAAAATCAATTTCAGATTACAGACGATACTTACAAGCTGATAACAACAGGAATAAGAAATGGTTATATGAATTATAGCTCTTAAATACAAGTAGTTTTATACTGTGAAGTATCGATTTAAATTTTTTAAAATTTAATTATTTTTTAAAAATTATTATTAAAATTTAATTTTTAAAAATTTAATTATTTTTTAATCTAAATTAAATCTGTCTTGGATGCTGAAACATTAATTTCCTTGTTAAAATGTCTTGGTTTAATTTTGTTTCCCGGCCAATGCACTAAATGCGTAATCACTCCAATCCTTTTTCATCATCTATCACAATGCTGAATAGCATAAAGCCATTATTATTTGTATAAGCTTTGTTTTGCTTATTTCTGCTTCTCAGTTTATCCACTCAACTTGAAATGCTCCAAAATTGACCCAGTATCGTAATGATATCCACAAGCTCTGTTGATCCAATACACAAACTGACCAACTTGTATAGGATGTTGTCTTCACTAGCTCCACAACAAGTAAGAGTCCAGCCAACCCATACATAAGCTGATGTGTAAGAGAATTGCTGCTTCAACTTCTGTCACTTCCATTGTGGTACACGATTGGTCCCACAATGAAACTGATGTAGTTTGAAAGCTTAAAACAACCCAAGAAAGCAAAGCTGATGCTTAGGAATAACAATAATAACAATAACAATAACAATAACAATAACAATAACAATAACAATAACAATAATAATAATAATAATAATAATAATAATAATAATAATAATAATAGAAGCAGTAGTATAATAGCAATAACAATAATAGTAACAACAAGAACAAGAATAGTAAGATAAAAGATAAAGATAAAATTCATTTATAGGATTAAATGTCAGAGCAAACCTGATTTTTGACTGCTGCAGCCTGGAAAATTCAAGAAACAGTGACACATAGAAGCAATTTACCATGTACAGGAAGCTGACATTCAACATAATTCCTCCGTAGTTAATGAAAGCTTTAAAAGGTTTAGGTAGGGTAAATAATTTTCAGTACTGGGTTGTATAACAACTTAAGTTCTAAGATTTAGAATTATAATCTCCTCAACAGGAGTAAGTGCTTATTACAGCACTTTATTACCTTTAAAATGGTTTTAGGCTATTCATCTTGTATAAAGTCTTTCAACATAAATATAGCTATCTACGTTTCATGTCTTCAGCATACACAATAAAGCATCCTTAAAAATTAACACCAGCCAATGCTGAAGTACAAATAAAGTCCTGATTTCTTCTTAGTTATGGCTAAGTTTTCTTCCTAAAACAAGAATGATACTCTTATTTACCAATATTCTACACTAATCTAAATAGTGATTATAAAACTATTTGACAGTTTTCAATGCCTGCACAGTACATCAAAAAGACCATAGGACAGGAATTACAGCAGCTAGCCAAACATACAGCAGCTAGCCAAACATACAGCAGCAGTTAGTAATATTGCTGTGACCACCCATTTACCTCAGAACAAAATGAAAGCACAAGTTGTTATGAGATTATCTCATATTTGTAATGTAAACATGTATGTTCTGACCAATGAACAGCATGCAAATTTACAAGACAGTTCTCCAAAACAGAGAGGCACCATGGAATTCAGTATTTTCAATCCCATAGCAAGAAACAGTCAGAATAAACTCTGTCCTGTCAGAAGTATGTTTTCTCTCAAGCTGCCAATACTGCAGAACCTCAAATGAATGCCCTGAAGATTGTGGCCAAACTTTATGGTGACCAGACACAGAGACACAGCAGAAGCCAAAGACTCAGGAGGAAGAGCTGTCCTGTGCTTGGACTGTGAAGGCATAAAAGCCTAGGGGTTCCTTTGTTGGTGATTGCTCCTAGGAGGCACCAGCCCAAGACATTTGTGTGTTACTGCACTGTGAGTAAATTGGTTTGTAGAAGGAGACATCAGAGACTTTGCTAAAGGAAACCTGGGGTCCAAGTGGTACAAACGCTATGCAAGTCTCAAGAATTCTGACTGGAGTATCCAGGATAAATTTCAGTCATCACCCATCTAACTACGGTTTCTATTCAGTCAAAAGCCACTGTCAGAAGGAATGGGATGACTCAGACTGACCTCACACACCAACATGCAGCTGTCCACATCTCCAGCTGCAGTGAGTGCCTGAGCTTGTAACTGTTGCTGAAGGGCAGCAAAGACAATATGAGACTAGTTTTCCCACAAAGTGATGAACCCTTCTTGCTATTAGGAGTGACATTTTTTCACCCCACACATTCTAAAGCCTCCTCATAACAGCACTCTGTCACTGAGGGTTACATGGAGCCTTTACTATTTTCAGTTAATAAAAAACATGACCAAAGAGCATCAGAAAAAACTTCATAACAGCATAAAAACTATTCTCTTCAGATCTGGATAACACCAGAGCTGCTCTTTGTGACATATACATGCCAAACCAGTTCCTGATGATCTGCAAAAATGATTCAATAACCAAAGGCAATCTCATTCTTTGTATCCCTGCATTTGAAAGGCTTTGTCCCTGAAGTCTAATATTGTTATTTCAGGCACTTTGTACTATAAAGGCAACTACCCGTTATCTATTCCAGTGACATATCTCTCTAAGCACAGTATGTTGCACATATTCCCATCAAATATTCTTAACCATCTTCTGCATTTCACATGAGCATTTTGAACTAATTTGGTCCTCCAGTAGTTTTGCAGATCTTTTGAGCTTCAAGTTGTCTGCAATTTTAACAACTTTCTTCTTTTACAGATCATTAGTAAAAATCCAGAATATTTCCCACCATTAGCTGCAACCAGAAAGAGAGAGAGCATATCCAGAAGTAAATTGTGCACCATTTCCTTCTGACAGCTATCAACTACCACTGATCTGGTATCCAAGCCAGTGCTCCACTCGGTCCAAAGAAAACCAATAACGATTATTCTCTGATAGATTTACAATTTCTTTTAGTTGATCCAGTGCAGTTCACGTCTCCACAGGCAGGAAGCTCTTTCTTCATCCCACATTCAAATACTGCAGTTCAAAATGCTCCTCGCACCACCATTCTGCCTGCATAAAGGAAGCACTCCTGTCCTTACAGTAACTGTTACCAAAACTTAAACATGACTAAGCTAACCAGAGAGCTTTGTGGATCTCCTCCTTCTCTGGTCAGGAAAGCCACAAGGGGATAATAAGGAAGCATGCCCAGACAGTGAAGAGCAGAGGACTTCAGGGTTTCACACTTGAAAGAGAACTACCTCAACAAGAAAACACCTTCTCAAAGAGAGATTCCTCGCTAGAGGGGCACTTCTTTCACTCCCAAAAGATTTAAGCATTTAAACTCTAATCATGAAGAACTGCTAGATTCACAATCCTCCATTACTCACTGTATGCCACTTTCACTATGCAAATGCTAAAACACATCATTGTAGCTTTCTACACGCCTACCCACAATGAGAAACACAAATCTAAGCCACGGCGTCTCATAAAAATTCAATTATCTTAGAATGGTTTCTGCCTGTTCACCTTGCAAGAAGCCTTACATAATATAATAGTCAAATGAAGGATGTCATCAGTTTCTCAATTGTACCGACTTCCTTTGAAACTGCTGTTTGCAGTCACCCAGCACACAGATGTATAAGGAAGTTCCTTATTCGCCCACAGCAAACAGATCTGCATTTTGGCACATTACCATGAACCTTTAAAACCTATTTTAATACAGGTATGTTTCTCATGAGCTTGTTAAGATTTTATTCCAACACAAGTAATTTCAAACTGTGGGTTTTTTTTCTCAACCACTTCCACAGTTACCGAGCAATCATTAGAGAGCTGATACTTCTGATTAGTTCATAGCTATCTCTACACAGAGTCACCATAAGTTATTCATGATTTAGGGATCAACTGTTTTGAATTGCAGGAATGGAAACTTTCAATTTGTCTCTAAGTAAAAAAGAATAAACAGTACTTAAGTAGCAACTCTGCAAACATCTAATATTCTTATATTAGATATAGCATATTTTATGCATTATAATTTGTGGTGTTTTCAAGAATACTCATTGCTGACAGAGAGCTTGCTTTGCTTATCACAATGCCTAAGGGGCTAGTCTACCAGAAGAACAAAACATAAGAGTTTTTTTACCATTTATTTTGATCTACCCCTCACAAAAAACAGGAAAAACCAGTCTGATATCAACCCTAATCTTGTTCCACCCAAAGTCAGCAAAAGTAAGGATAATTCTACATACTAGAATTTAAAGTCAAATTTTAAATAGATCTCAAGATACAAATGTAATTCACTGTAGAGCATGCTCTTCATGAATATTCACCTCCTCACACAGAAAATAACTGGTACTTCAGAAAATTAAGACTGAAGCCAAAATTCCCAGTTTTGCTGACGTTTTAAAAAATCTGATTAAATGGCTTGATTTAACAAGGTTTAATCTGTGCTACCTTAAAAAAAAAGACTGAAAGGCTTTAAATAGTTTCCTGATGCTTAACAGCGTTCCAGAGATAATCTCACAAATTTCTCAAATGCTAGCTAAGACAAGTTCACAAGAAAATAACAAACACGGCTTTTCAACCTGACATCTTCTGTATCCCATTCTGAGTTGTCCTAGCTATGTGTTGCACTGCAAGATTGATGGCTTCTTACACAGTATTTTAACCTTCTTTAATTCCTTCAGTAGAAATAACTAATATTTTATTTTGTTTATTTTATTTTATTTTTATTTTTGTTATTTTATTTATAATATTTTGTCAATATGTGAATAGAATTATTAAATAAATTAAATTTTCAATTAAATTTATTTTGTATTTTATATTTGAACATGTCTAACACAAACTGAAAATTTAGATTTAAAAAGTTATTTATTAAATGTGAAGATACTTTGTGTTAATCAATATTGACTCCCTCAGTGTTTCAGGACACCAATTTGTGCATCCTTACTAGAGACCCACAATGTGTATTTTATTTATCTTCTTACTGAGAAGATAAGGATATTCCTACTAAGAAGACAAAGATATTCTTACTGAGATAAAAGACTGTTTTTTCACAAATCTCAAATACCTTGATGTTAAGAAGTGACTGTGTTTATAAATTTACCTTTTTTCAGCTGATGTTTTTGCTTTGTTCATATCGGAAATATGATTCTTCAAATCACCATCTCTGACAACCTGTAAGATATTAAACAACTACATATTATTGATGTATTTTGATCTTTAGAGAAAAAATGCTGCCACCATACTGAATGTCCCCTCACTGGAATTGCTAAATTAAGTTCATTCACACTGATTGCATTTCTCCACACTGTCACAAGCTCTCCTCCTGTCACACTATTTGATCCAGCTTTAAAAATAAACTATTGCATTTTAAGTATGGAGCATGATTCTGCATTATAATTCAGGCCTACCAAAGCTCAGAAAGTCTGATTGCAATAAAACAGAAACTTGTTTCAGTCATTTACTAGACATTACTTTCCTGTCAATGACAGAATTTTAGCTGAAGCCAGTAAACACACTTTTTAAACTTACTTGACAATACTGTGAGATGCCACAACATACTGATTTCTGACTTCTATTTTACGTATCTATAGAATAACTAAGGCTAGAGGCATAGTGAGAAACATGGAGTATTTGGTGTTCTTATTTAAGCAAGACCTCAACACATTCCTTGGACAGAAACCATATCATGCCAAGGACTCAATTTTCCTATCCATCTAAGGACATAGTGTCCTCGGGGCACGCTGCTTCCTCAAATGGTGCCTTCAAGCAATTAAGGTTGCAGTCTACAGGACCATTAACTGAGCACCAGCACTTCCATCTGAGATCTACTATGAATGACAGACAAATACTCTCACTGTGAAAAAAACCTGCCCTCCAAGAGCACAGTAGTTAATTTAAAGGCAGAAGACAGAGAAAAGGGGAAAATGGATGTTCAAAGGTATGGGTGCTGAGAATGAGTAAGATAAAGCACATCTTCTCTTGATAAATGCAGACAAGAAATTCAGCCAACTACATACACACAGCTGCCCCCTCCCATCCCCTTCTCCCCAAAGAAACGTGTAAAAGGTCTCAAAAAACCTTACTGTTCAGCACATAAAAACAATTAGGCTTTTATTACTGGTAAATTCCACTCCACTGCTAAAAGCCTAAAGCAGATGAACTATGAAACAGACTTATTTCCAGACTTACCTGAAAGCAGAATCTTTTCCCAGCAGTCAGGAAGAAAATGCTTAACTGTTCACAATTCCAGCTTGACTCAAGTTAACAGGTGTCCTAGCTTTGTCCAAGTATCCTTCAGGTGTAAACTATCTTGAAATCCTTTAAATAAAATAAATAATTAAAAGGGAAGAGCTGTGTCCACATTACTGACAATTTAATGAATTACAAAGTCTGGATTATTCCAAACAAGTTGCAAGTCTTACTGGGTGGAAATCAGACCCTTGGATTCAAGTAACCAAGAGCTGTTTTGCTTGCAGCAGAAGTAGGACCTGCTGTCATGCAGAAGATGAACAGTCTGCCAGCGCCAATAGTGTCTATATATTATTGTGTACTGAAGTGCTGTACAAGTGGAGCCAGCTACTGAGCTGAACCATCTTGAACTGCAAGGTCTTAGTTTGTTTGTCTAAATTCACCACAAAGTATTTCACTAAGCACTGAAGTCCCTACTATTGCTCCAAGTCAAGGGGAAATGTCAAGTAAAAAAGAAAAAGCACAAGAAAAAAACAAAACAAAAAAAAACCTCAACAAAACTAAAAACAGATGAGAAGGAGCAGGGAAAAATGAAAAGAGAAATGAACACAGCAGCAATCCATAGAGTTGTGGTGGGACATCTATGAACACTAAAGTAAAAAAAAAAATTAAAAGAAAAAATTCTCTTTAACATTTGACTAGGTCATGCAAAAAAACAACTTCCAAATTAATTAAAATCTTTTATCAGTATCCTTATTTTGAATGAACATTTGATAGAAAACTAAAGGCAGAAGGTGAATGAATTTACATATATTTTTATGCCACTTGCCTTTCAGTGGTTGCAGAGCAGACAAAATACTAGTATCAGTTCTGCTTGTAAAGGACCAACAACTGAATGAAAGCACTTCAAGTTGGAGGGAAACAGAAGAGAGCAAGAAGTGCTGACTAAGTAAAACTCCAAGCCAATAAATGCTGGATTCTCTACAATCTCCCTTTGCCTTTTCACCTTCCCTGTGAAATGTTATCTCATTCATCCTCCCATCTAGATAGGGGAAACAGGCAGATTTCACAAGACCAGAAGCACTGCAATAATTGCTGTAATAATGTTATCAACAGTACAATAAATTAAATAGTCTGCATGAAGTTACATATAATTTTCTCCTCGGAAAAGCACATACTTGCCTCACTCCTAGGTGAATTCTTTGTCATTGAACCACTGAGTCACTCTGTTAATGCAGCTTTTCAATACCCTGAAAATGTGACACTCACTGACAAAGTTCATGCAAAAGCAAAGAGGGTACCCCACCCCAGTATTTATCTTTCATATAAAGTTTTGTCATTTGCCAAAACCTAAGAATAACATGGAATCCATGGAACTCCTAGATCTTGGATAAATACTCTAACCACAAAACTACTCTACCAAATGGCAAGGACCATCACAAAGCAATTTTTTTTGCTCTAAACATTGGCTAAAGAAATTAACTTGCACTGTTTCATTCAGACCTCATATTCAGATTATTGGGCATTACTGGGAGTGCCTACAGAGGAGTACAAACTCTATCCTTCTGAATACTAGGTTTACATATATATGTATATATGTATATACATACAGGAAGAACACCAAGATGCTCAGCCTCTCCAAGGCAGAAATAATTCTAGTCAGATGTCATAACAGAATTCAGAGGAGATTTTACTGACACACGTTCTGGGGGTCCCACCGTAAGAATGATGTGGCCTTACTGGAATCCAGAAGGCAGCAATAAAAATGACCAGAGTAATGGAACAATTCCCTTATATGAAAAAAGGCTGAAAGAATTGGGACTTTTCACCGTGGAAATTAGAAGGCTCTGGGGAGACCTTAGAGGAGCCTTCCTGTACCTAGAGAGAACCTACCAGAAAGCTGGATAGGGATTTTTTACATGGGCCTGGAGTCAACACAAATGCTTTAAACTGAAAGGAGAAAGGTTTAGGTTAGACACTAGGAAGAAAAAACACATAGTCACCATTACAACAGTTTAGTGCTGAGCATTTCTGTTGTCATTTTAATAACATTTTATTTGAAAGAAATTCTTATAAATTAAACACACAATAATGTTACATCTGAGGCTCAAAATTTTTATTTTAATCAACAGCACCTCTACTTTCATGTTAGGTTTTTCTTCCTCACTGAAACTGGCAGAAATCCAACCTCTCAAAACCGTGGAGAGTTTTCGTGCTAAAATTCTGCTACTAAAACTTTATCTTAGGGAAAACAAGGATAATCTCTCTGTTACTGAAGGTGAACAACATCCTCAGTTTACATAAACAGAATTCACATGTTCAACTGACCAAAATACTTTAACAGAGAACATGCCTGTCTTGGAAGCATAAATGTAATTTAAAAAAACTTAAAGTACCTTCACATTTTCTTTACTTAAAAACCTCTTGCCCCTCAAGAAATCAGCAAGACAAAACTACCACAAGTAAGAAAACCAACCAAATAATAATTAAAAAAACCACAAAATCACAACAACAACAACAAAAATAGACTACTTCACAGAGCCAGAGATGTTTGAAATTTTCTATGGCTAATACCAGGATTTTCCTGCAAAGTACTTTGTAATTATATTCCAGAATACAGTTCTCTCCAAGAGAAACCAGAAAAATCAACACCAAGTACGGATATAGAAAGTTTATCCATACTACTGAATCTGTTTTACTTGCTCTATATTCTCTAAAGTTTTTCTTTTCCAGAAGCTTACTTTCTTAATAAATATCATATAGAAAGACATTTGAATCTGTTCACTATATATTAAAACACAGTATCTTATTATCATAAAAAGGGGAGTTGCTAAAACCGTATATCAAATTATACTTATCAAGAGAAAAGCCAAAATTTAAGTTTTTTATGTCTATCTACCACAATAGCTCTGCAAAACCTGTAAGACTGTTCAACAATAAATATATATATTTCTGTGTTTTACTTTGTATCCAAGGCTTGGTGCAACCCTACATATTTTCAAAGCCAAAGCTCAGACTTCACTTTTGATTATCAAGGAGCTATTGATTTGAAAGGTGAAAGAAAGTAACTCTGAACAAGTCTTTAGCAAATAAGTCATTCTTTCAATGTGTACTTACTTATCAGATAGTGCAAGCAAGTAGCTGAACAGAATCTTTGGCAAATGCTACAGTACAAAAAAAGGCAAATTAGTACACAAAAAAAAGAAAGGAGTTCAAAATCTCAGGTGACAGAATAGTGTCAAAACCCAATGCATTAAAAATTAAATAGAAAAACCATAGGTACGAACTGAAAAAACACATAACAATTTAAAAAGTCACAAAGGCTAGGCAGAAGAAAACTTATACTGAAACCCTGGAGGTGGTTGCATTCTGGGATACGCTTCCAAAAGCATTCCTACCTCTCACTGATGTATATGTGGATTCCCCCAGTTCGGTGCAGATTAAATCACAAGCAAATGCACCTTTCATAGTATCTCATTTCATGCATCCCAAAGTCTCAGAAGCTGTTCATGGGTCAAAATATTATTTTTCAAAATACTTATAAGTCCATTTAAACAAAAACATATAAAAAGACTTCTGCATTCTTTGTGCTCTTTGCGCAATCTTAATTCCAAAATACCACTTGTGGTATTATTGAAGTAAATTGTTTGCAAGAACAGACTATTTACCTATTTAAGTGAATTTACACTTGTAGGAATTTACTTTGTGTTAAAAATCTAGGATAACCAGCAACACATGGCAGCAAGAGTCATGGTTTCTCTACCAACAGCAACCTACCCAAAAAGCTTTTAAAGAGCAGGTAAACACCATGATAATCAGCATTCTAAATATGGCAAAACCACACAAATAACACACCATACGGAAATGAGCAGTATGTTACCTAACATTACACAAAAGAATTACTCATCAGGACAGAAAAATACTCTTCCACTGACAGCAGTAAGAAATGGCCAGTGCTATTAATACAGTGGTGCAATCTCCTCCATCTCATCCTCTTGCACCATAAGGAGGACTGCCCATTTGCAGAAGTCTTAGCAATTATACCTTAAGTAGCTCCTTTGTCTATTTATTCCTTTACTCTTTCATATCTAACATATTATTTTCTAGTTCAGTGTCTCAAATGACAACTTATACAACTATCTTTTTGAAAAAATGGTTGGTCATGGGTAGTTTTGGGGGTTTATTTTCAAGAATGCAGTTCTATTTTAACGCATTAAAGTATTATAACATACCTAAAAGTACCTTAGAAGTATTTCTTCCATGAGAAAAGGTTTGTTCAAGATATTAGAAAAACTAGAGATACTTTTCTCCTATGTAATTTTATGACTTCATGCGGAAATGGCAGAAAATAATCCCTTATCTAAGGGATAATTTATCTACCCAACTCCTCTAAGCAGAAAAAAACCCATGAAGTTTTGGGTGGAAGAGAGTCTAATTTATAAATCTAAAACAAAATGAAAAGGCTAACAACCTTCACTAATCAATGAAAAAAATACTTCTGAAAATCAGTTACTGCCTTTCCCTTATGCCATTTGCTATAAATATTTATAGTAGGGAGTAAAAAAGTCAGCTTATCTGTTGCTGCATTATAGCAAAGTGACGACTTTTTGATGTGACTAGATAAACTGCAGAATATAATCACACATTCAAAATGGCATATATAAAACTTCACAGATGACTGAAGCACTTAAGTTCTTACAGCAGGCTGCCAACTATGTAATGTGGCAGCCTTTACCACCAGTCCACATGACTGTGAGAACAAAGTGTCGTAAAAGCAACCAAAAAAGCTAAGCAAGCAAGCAAGCAAGAAAAGCATTTGCTGGGAAAAGAGCAGACTAAAACACCAGTACCTTATTTCTTGCCTGGAAAGAAGCTCCTAGAAAGTTACTGGCATTGCAAGCATAAGGTTACTTCAAGATATTACAAACTTGCTGTCATCAGGGTCACATAGTATCATGTTCAAAGCTTGCGTGATTTAAGCTGACAGAAATACTGCAAAAGTCAGCTACTTCTTGCCCAGCCGGCATAACCCTTTCATCAGGTAGAAGGTGAATGGCACAGGGAGGGAGGAGGAAGCAATAAAAATAGCCAGAAGGAAAAGGACAACTACATTAGAAACTATTTCCCTACACCAAGAACTGAAGAGGAACTGGAAACCTAGGAACTTTTGTCAGCTCTTGGAAAAGCTTAATACAGTGGCAAATGTCAGAGGTGCTTTCCAGCACCTAACCCAGTGACTGCTCCTTTGGGTTACACTGTCTTGATGGTTAAGGTCAGTCTGTAAAAAAAATCAACGCAAAGATCTAAACTTCTTAGTTCACTAACTGAGTAAAAGCAAACCCTCAATCCTGGTTTAAGTCCAGACAAAAAAAAAGTAACAGGAAAGAAAACCCATGCCTCCATGTTGTAGATTTATCTACTCAAATATACTTCAAACCCTTCAACTTCACTGGTGTACAGAAACAACCATAACAACCCATAATGCTCCCAGCAACTGTTCTCACTTTCAGAATCTTGATTTGTACCATACTGATTATGAATTTCACTTGGAACAATTAAAACAGTATTACCTACCTTCCGTGTGCAAACACCCTGTTTCTCAGAAATTTTAAGTTTTATAAAGGATGTAGTAAAAGTTTTTTATGGGCCTTGCAATATACTAAATGTTTTAGGGTGACATTTTCAGGACCGTTGCCTCTGCAGCTGTTGCAAAAGAAAGGAAGGATGTTTGGATGCTCCCTCCTCTCCGCTACTTCCAGTCTTTCTACGGTTACTGCATTTCCAAATGGAAACCATGCTGAATCATCCACGTATCCAGGACACACACTGGATAGTTCATAATCTTCTTGATGCTTAGCACAGGATATTGGACAGTTAAGCTGTGGATAGTGGCAGGGCCTGAAAACATACCCAGAGATACACTGCTGTTAAAAATTTCTCCTAAGCACTCACACAAGCAGCTGCCTTGTCCAGCACTCTCACACTCACTCCGAGAAACCTGACTTCCCCTCCAAGAGGGGCTCTTTAAGGAGTTCCAACACTTCAACCACTGCAGTTATACTCCAGAGCCAGGACAACTTGTACTGGCAGATTAGTACTCAGTGCTTTTGGACATTAACAATTTGTATCACGGGAGCAATCTCCTAAAAGCAAGCAGCTCACAGATACTGGAATACAAGGAGACGTTTCAAATAACATATCAAGTGCCAAAAAACAGGTGATCCCCAACTATGTCTAGAAGAGTATTGCCATGAATTTTAAAGACTGCAGTTTCTAATCATGAAACACACTGCTGACAAGCTGTTGAGTGAAAAGCTGAATGTCTTTCCTAAACTAAAACCTAAACACAAGGTGAAATAGCAAACTCCTTTTGTAAGTTAAAAGGGCTTCAGAGCCCCTCTCCTTTTTCTCTTTACATGTAGCTTATTACACGGTATTTCAGGGAAGTTGCTCCTAGCAGCAGTAAAATAACTAATACAAATCTTCTGCCAAGACAACTGAATATTTTTCAAGCTTAAAACCTTTAATTTGGAAAATAATCTGTGAACTCCTTGAACATGAGCACTGTCACCTCCAACACCTGAACTGAAAGTCAAGTCTCAGATCACGTATCGCTTCACACAAACATATATCAGATGTCACTTCGTGCACCACAACGACTCCTTGGCTTGAGATCATTTCCACCCTTTTTGAAAAAAATAAAGACAGAATTTTTTTTATTAATTTTTTTTTAAGAAAAGGTATTTTGCTTCATTTATACTAGCATTAAAAAACAATCACTGTAGTGAACTGAAACGTCATGTATTAAAATTATCTTGACATTAAATAGGAAAGGATATTATCTTGTCACTCCCCAACCCAAAGACATAAAAAGATATTCCAACACAGACTTGCTCTCACAACACAGAGCATGAGCTTTAATTTTCAGAGAAACTCTTTGGTCATAATTTCAAGGAGGATTAACCAAAAGGTGGGGCTATCCCATCAGCAACATCCAGTCACACAGTTTTATATAAAATACACACTGAAAGCTGTCTGTGAAAAAGAGAAACCTTTTCATGAAATATAACCTATAAAGGTAGTGCAGACACGTATTTCATTAAAAGAACTTAATTCATGGGAATACACTCACTGGAGAGCTAATTTTCTAATGCTAGAAAAGCTAATACACAATGATCAACATTCACACGACAAGGCTATACAGAAGTTTGATGGTGTTTTCACACCATGCAGGTACAAAGGAATTCACTTTCTGCCTATACTACATACTATAGAAAGCTTTCTGCTCCAAGTAAGCATAACAATTCATCCAGCTGAGGATTTCAAAACATCTCATATAAAGCTCGGTGCCTGAAAGCAGTTTATACTGAAGAAAACACCACCACACCCTGATATGCAACCTATTTCTCAAACGTCGAGCACTTGAAGTGATACCTACAAAGAAATACTTGCTGCGCTAGATTTCCACCACTGCAAGAAAAGGCAGGAAAATTGAAAAAAAAAAAAAAAAAAAAAAAANAAGAAGAAGAAGAAGAAAAAAAAGAAGAACTAAACCCCAAGTGCTAACAAACTCCTATCCACGGAGCGTTAAGTCAAACAGACGTTGGGCAGGCCAAGCAGCACGGCACATGAGGCAAATGTTACCCCAACCGCCGTAGTGCCCACCCAATGCCCATGCTGGGTGACCCCTTCGGCGGGGCAGCAGGGGCAGAGCCGCAGCGCTCGGGGCTGGCAGGGCCAGGGCTCCCCGCAGCCCTGGCTGCTGCAGGGCGGCCCGGCAGGGCGGGGAGCGCTCCGGGCCGGCTGCGCGCCACACGGAGCGCAGGGACGCGATCGTCCCGCGCCCGGCGCGGGGCTCCGTGCCACCGGAGGCTCTACCCCGCGCCGCGGGCAGACCCGACGGCGGCCAGGCCCGGAAACCAGGCACCGCTCCTACCGTAGGGCCTGCGACCATCTCCGCGGGCGAGAGCACGCAGGGCGCGGCTCCCGCAGCGACCCGCCGTGTCCGAGCGGCCCCGCGCACATCCACCGGCGTCCGCAGGGACGCGCCCGGCAGCCCCGGAGAGCCCGGCACAGAGGAGCCGAGCCCCGCCCAGCCCCTCCCCGCCCCAGTCCCGATCCCGGCCCCTGCCGCGTCCCTGCCCCCGCTGCGGCCCGCTCCGCCCTGCCCAAGGCGATGCCCGCTCGCGGGGCAGCACCTTCGCGGAAGGCGGAGAGCGCCCACTCACCCCGCGGTGCTCAAGCGGGGGCACCGGGCGGCGGCTGCGGTGGTGGCTCCGCGCTGCGCCCCCGCCGTGCTCATGCGGCGGCGGCGGCGGCGGCAGGACCTGCCCGCACCGCAGCGCGTCACCGGCCCCGCCGCGCCCCGCCCGCGCGCAAGCGCCGCCGCCGCCGTGGGGAGCGCGGCGCCCGGCCCGTCCGGGCGCACGGATAGAGCGGCAACTGCACGGGTCCTATGAATCCGCCTCGCATTCCATACTTCTGTGAGATGTACAAGCGTATAATGGGAGGACGGGGGAGAGCCAGAGGATGGAAGCAGGCTTTCTCCGTGCTTCGCGAGCAGTAGGACAAGAGGCAGTGGGCACAAACTGATGCACAGGAAGCTCTACCTGAACACGAGGCAGAACTTCTTTGCTGTGTGGGTGACCAAGCACTGGCACAGATTGTCTACAGACATTGTTAAGTCTCCCTCACTGGACACGATCTGTGTGGTGTGCTCTAGGATGACCCCGCTCAAGCACGAAGGTTGGACCAGATAACCCCGTCATCCCATCCAACCTGACCGATTCTGTGATTCTGTAATACCTTCGTGGGGCGCTTCCTCCCAGCCCAACCTTTACACACAGTTTGTTGTGGCAGGTAAGTACGTGAACCCAAAGAATCCTACTGCCCAGGGCACTGAGGTACCACAGAAGCAAGTAATACAATTCACAATGATTCATTAGCCAAAGACTTTGTATGCCTCCTCATATGCCACCCCTTTCCCCTGGGAATTTTTGCAAAAGAAAAGTAATACCTCATATGCTTCACAAAGCGTTTTATGGCAAATTAACATTCATGTGCCTAGCACCTGGTTTTAAACTATGCATCAGTATTGCTGATGAATTCTAGAAGTGGATAATTTAATCTCCCTTTCTGACACTTTTTAAACTGGAACAACCTGGTATTTCCTTTTCCATGAAGTTCTTCAAATGAAGAAACTACTAAGAATCTGTGGCCAAATCTTTATACCAATTTTACAAATCTGACATGGGTATGGAAAAAACAGCCCTTAAGTAAAAGGCTGGCAAACTGAAATCAAGTTCAAATCCCACTTACATGAATAATAAAGGCACAATCCCTAATAGATTGTAAAGTTATTAATATGCAAAGTTAATTAGCCAATAACATTGTGTGTCCATGGAGCTACCCATTCTAATTCTTGTTCAGTAAAAAACAGGTTTCAGATCCTGGCTATAGCACTTGCAATTCCTCTCCTACACACATCATTCTCCTCACAAAGGCAAGAGCAAAGATAGCCAAGACTATAGCCAAGACTTTTCTACTGTCTTGAACGTAGCTGTGTATTTCGTGTGCATTTGCATGTGTGACAGTTTGCAACTCTTCCATAGGGCTGATTCCTGTGAAGGAGGGTTTCTAGTTAACTGTTTGTTAGTCCTTTGACTCAGGTTACAGTGTTAGAAAGGTAAGTTCTGCTTATCATCCATGCAATGGTACACAGATGATCTGCAGAGCAAGCATACACATCCATATCTTATGGACACAAAACAAAGCTACTCTGCAAGTCAGCAGAGACCACACAAGTGAGGAGCAGCAAACTAATTTTGTCAAAGTATGACAGATGAGAGATCCTGGTCCTCCTACCTCTTATTTATGTATAAGTGCATATATGCATTTTAAGTCCTCATCCCACCATATTAACAAAAATGGATAGTCAGATGTCCATTTATTCAGTTATTGGCATGGTCTTTCTCCAGCAAATAATTCAACATTGATTATGTTTCCTAGAACTAGAATCCATGGGCTATGATCACAAAACGTATGTGTATTAGGAAGAACCTTCCTTTCTTACAAGTTTCTCTAGGTATCTAGCATGGATGAGAAGAGTATGTTATCAGAATGCAGAACTTTGCCAGTGCATTGGCAACAGGTAGGAACAGTCTCACTTGTTCCATAACACTGGTCACATTGGGAAATGGGTAAGAGAAAACTTAAAACAGAATTCAGTACAGCTACAAGTTGTTTGTGAATTCTATTAATGGAATTATTTTAAATGCATAACACTGTCTAAAGCAAAGCAGAACACATGGAATAAATTCAAGTATGACTCAGGCAAAGACGAAAATAGTATTGGGCAGGCTCTGGCAAGTAAACGACAAATAAAAGAGGTGTAGATAAAAACCTCTCAAATATTTTGAAGTTGAAGTCAGAGTCAGTTTATCTAACTTAGGTATGAAAATAATGTTTCAAAACAGCTCTCTATTTGTCCTGACACACAACAAAAATAAATCAGTTAAAAATATGAGAATTTTCTACTGAAAAAAGAGGGCCCAGCAGTAGCTCCAAATAATTTAAGACTGGCAAAAAGTATGATTTCATTTAAAAAAAAATAATTATAGTAATAGGCCTAATTAGAATACTTGTATCAGTTACTGAAATCTATTAACTTTTTCACTCAATGGAAACAACAAATGCAGAACATAACTGAAGGTAAGTGTTGCATTCATCTTGATTATTTCACCAAGAAGACTGTTCTATGCAGAACTCCTATTTTTACTAGCTAAACATTTGTTTATGGAAATTTAAAGGTCACTGACTGGACCTAGAATTCTTTTTTTGGCAGGTAAACTGTTTCCAAGTTTAGGATTTATTTCTATGGAGAACAACTTTACCTTTAGAAAACCTGACTCTGGTGTACCTTTGCTGATCTTATTTACATAACAATTCTCAACAACAGGAATATGCCCTAGCTTTATTTGTTTTCAAACACAACACTGTGTGCAAAAGTGAATTGTTTATCCATTGAATTTTTTTATGAAGAGTTAATACCATGATTCATTATTCTTTTGGTTTCCCAAAAAATGTAACACTTTAAGTAGAATCTTTAACAAGCATACAAAATCATTCCAAACAATTTACATTTAATTTAGCCAGAACAAATAATAAATTTGAAAGTAAGGTGATGGCAAATTACAGAGCCATCACATAAAGCTTGATGGGGAGTCAGGCATGCATCTCTGAAAATTGCAGCAACAGTAATACTGTCTTGTGGAGCAGAATGGGTTCCACGAAAATTAAGTCTCTAAGTTTGACCAAGTGACCCACCTAGCAGATGAGAGAAAGGCTGTGGATGTTGTCTACCTGGACTTCAGTAAAGCCTTTGATACTCTCTTCCACAGCTTCTTCCCAGAGAAACTGACTGGCTACTAATGACTTAGACAGGTGCAGTTTGCTGGTTAAAAACTGGATAGATGGCTGGGCTGAGGGTGTTGGTGAACGAAGTTATGTGGCTGACAGTCACTACTGCAGTTTGCTAGGGCTCACTGCTGTAGCTGGTCCTATTTAATGTCTTTATCAATTATTTGGATGAGGGTACTACCTCAATTTGCAGACACCAAATCGGGTGGGAGAGTTCATATGCTGGAAGGCCCTGCAGAGGGATCTGGACAGGCTGGATTGATGAGCTGAGGCCAGTGGTAGGAGGTTCAATAAGGTCAGGTGCTGAGTCCCGCCCTTGGGTCACAAGAACCCCATTGACTGCTACAGGATTGGGGCAGAAAGCCTGGAAAGCTGCTCAGCCGAAAAAGACCTAGGGGTCAACAGCAGATCCTGACCTGGGACATTGAAGACTGTGGAGTGTGCCTGGAGAAGGGCAATGGAGCTATGATGAAGGGCCTGGGGCACAAGTCTTATGAGGAGCAGCTGAGGCAGCTGGAGGTGTTCAACCTGGAGAAAAAGAAGAAAAAGATGTTCAGGAGTGACCTTATCCTTCTCTTACAGCTACTTGAGAGAGCAGCAGGCAAGAGTCAGCCTTTTCTCCCAGGAAATTAGCAACTGGAGAAGAACACATACCCTCAAGATGTGCTAGCACAGGTTCAGGTTGGACATGAGAAAGACTTTTGTCACTGAAAGAGTGGCTAAGCATTGGAACAAGCTAACCAGGGAGGTGGTGATGTCACCATCCCAGAAAGTCTTCAATAAATGACTAGACATGCAACTTAGGGCTATGGTTCAGTTGGCATGGTGGTGTTTAATCACAGCTTGGACTTACAGGTCTTTTCCAACTTTAATAACTTTATGATTTTTGTAGGAAATTCAGTCTTAGGAATATACTTTTTAATGGGACAATCCATGGACTTAGAGAAGGTAACAAATATATACCAATCTACACACAGTGTGGAAAGGCAATGTCATCAGAGGTGTCATAAGCTAAAACAAGAAGCTTATAAGTCTACATTAAGCATGTTATGTTCACTTGGTGTTGTTGACAAGGCAACACAAGTAACAA